AGGTATCACACCCTGTCAGATGACCCAGAAGTTGAGTGCAAATACATTTGAGTCGACTGAAGACACTTTGCGAAAAGCGATTCTTTCACACACCAACTCATTAGCTTTCAAAGTCAACCCAATACAAGATAACTGCTACAGCCAACTAACTTTAAAAAACACATTAAGTGTCTAAATWTCAACAAACTGTACAACTGCTCACCTAAAAATGGATGTTTTAGTTTTGACCACTTRCAAAATGCACAAAGTTTAAATTAAATTTTTTTTGTTTTAAATTTTGACTTGAACCTTGTCTGTTAGCAAAATATTTCACAAACTGTTGCATTGATTTTAGCAAAGCTTTTATGATATAATCGTCGGATGCACATTTATAACCGACAAACTTTTTAGCGAAACCAGTTTAAAATGGTCACCACAGCCAACTGACCTTAGAAAACACAAAAATGGCTACAATTCAGTCAATTCGACGGATATTGTGCTAAAATTTGGAGCTGTTGAAGCTGACAGCCAGTCTCAACACATACTCTAAGCACTATTTATTGAACAAGATCTTTGCTTGAAACTATAGCGTTAATTATTTCAGTCAAACCTGTTTGCCTGTTAACAAAATATCTGGTGAACCACTGGATGGATTTCAACGTAACTTTCTCAAAGTGATAACTGAGTGTACATCTAAAACTGATTAACTTTTAGAATTAATCTATCATAGCCGTTCCACGTTAGCAATGCAAGAAATGGCTATGAATCTGTCACTTTCACAGATATTGAGCTAAAATTTGATGTGTTTGTAGCTGAGAGTAACTCTGAGCATGACATCTTTTTTTCATCTACTGTATTGATCCACTGGTGGGGAAATTAAGTCTCTGCATTTTACCCATCGCACACGTGAACACACATGTGGAGCAGTGGGCTGCCAATTACAGCACCCGGGGAGCAGCTGGGGGGGTTAAGGGTCTTGCTCAGGGGCTCAGGGTGGGGCTGGTTGGTTTGGAGAGTCGAACCAGCGACCTTCCGATCGGCTATACCCTCTGCGCCACCACCTCCCCACATCCTACACTGTTTCATGAGATTGTGCAAAACGTTAGTTTTAGGTTTGCACTTTGAGCTCTGAAATCTTCTATTTTGCAGATTGATCAACACCCCGCCAAAAAGATTGGCTTTCTGGGCCTTCTGCAGGAATGACAATCCACCTGCAACTGTAGCGCTTTTAGCCTAACAGAGATATGGAGCAACGGAACCAAACAAGAGGAGACATGTTGAGCACTGCCTGGCAAACTGTAACTTATAGACCTCAAAGAAACTTAAGGAAGATAAATGAATGAGATTCCAATTCATGCAAACTTGTTAAGATATATTTAATGTTATTATTGCCAGATGCAGAAAAGGTGAAAGTAAACCTGATTCATGAATCTGCTGTTAGCAAAATAGATCATAAAACACAGAATAGATGAAACTTTCCAAAATTATTCATAGAATAAACATMAACTGATTAACTTTTGGAGTCMTCCTGATTCAAGATGGCCACCACTGACCTTCAAAAACACAACAAWGACTAAAAKTCAGTCAGTTTAACAGATATCTGCCTAATATTTGGTGATAGTGGCTGAGAGTCATCCCTTACGCATATTCAGGTCGTTTTTCAGGACTATTCAGAGGCGCGCAGCCTGTCCGTGCGCGCGCCCTGACCTTGGTGAGGGTCCTGCGCTTATCGACCACGGTCCTGAAATGAGCATGATAAATTGGGGAGTGGGGGGGTCGCGCTCAGCACCGCGGAGCTCCTTGACACTTTTTAAAGAGTCTGGGTTTTGTTACGGGCAGGAAACAGACCCTTCCGCTCCGCGTAAACACGCGCCTCTGCTTGGCCCGCTTTCGGGCTGACGATGGCACGCGAAGACCACCCGAAGATGATGATGATGATGACGATGATGATGATGATGATGATGATGATGTTGGTGGTGGTGGTGGTGGTGGTGGTGTTGATGGTCAGTTTAGAGCTCGACAGGCTGCGCGCCTGTACGTGCACGTTTGGAGCTGAAAGCTAAGTGAGCCATTAAGCTGATGGAGGCTGTGAACCGTGACGCAGTGTCCACGCGCGGTTTGACACGAGCTCTCTTCGAGATTTGCTCGCAATCACTTTAAAATATACAATATAGATATATTTTACCAGAATAAATTTTGACTTAATAAAAAAATCTTTATTTGCTGTTGTGCTTGGTTGTTGCTTTAATAATCGAATAAATTACCTATTGATCAGATTTGGTGCCTTTTGGTATGTTTTTTAAGCTAYGATTTAATCACAGAATCCGGACAAAAAGTAACTTCCAAATAAATATAAAGTTTTCATAAAATCACAAAAAAGTGGAAGTGTTTAGTTGCGTCTAACCATGACGCACTCCAGTGCGTAAAAGCGCATTTTAACATGAACTAAAAATAAGCTTCTTTAGCTACCCCCCGCCTTCCTAAATGGCTATTTTCAAGGAGAAGAGAAGATGGTTCACTAATCTAAACATTGTCCTGCTGATGGGGAGCGGATGAGATTATGAACACATTCTCTCCTTTTCTTTCCACGCGGTTTAAGAGCAAAAGGCCTTCAGACTCTGGCGCCTGCTGCACTTGGACACAGATAGTCGACCAGAGGATGAGAGGTGTCCTGTTTCACCAGCAAATAACTGATTCTTATTACTCTTCTTTTTATTCTTAGTGGTAGATAAAGTGTCCATTTATAACATTATTGAGTTGCGTAAAAGTGCCAACACGCATTGTTATATTTTATTTAGCAACTTTATTTCTTGAAGACAGATTCAGTAATTATCAGTTCAAGTTTAGAATTGTAACTTGAATAATAAACGGAGGGTCATTGTTGATCATTTGTTAAAACAAATAAAAAGCTGTAAGAGTTTTGAACTGAATTAAAAAGTATGCAAATGAGCTTTAAAATATTCTGATCTTTTCGGTGAATGTAAAAAAAAACAAAAAGAAATAAATTAACTTCGGACATTTGTTCTCTATCTTTTATTTATCTATATATATTCTAGTATATAAATGAGCTTCAAAATATTCTGATCTTTTCGGTGAATGTAAAAAAAACAAAAACAAATTAATTAACTTCGGACATTTGTTCTCTATCTTTTATTTATCTATATATATTCTATTATCTATGTGTATTTTAATTTGGTCATTAAGACGGGCGAAACGTTTGGTGGGAAAAAATRCAGCTGTAAACAAGTGTGGAACAGCTTCTGTTTTTAGTTGTCAGAAAACAGCAAAATTAAAGCTTACTTAGAAAAACAATTTTAAATTTTATTAATTTAAAAAGCTTTTTGATTAGAAATCTATTTCCTGTTCTAAAATTTAGTGAAAGTAATATAAAAAACGGAGCCATTCGAGTAAAATTGTTAGTAATAAAAACCTTCAAAACTTGTGAAAAAGTAAAGTGTGCTGTGATAAACGCTTCCCGCGGGAAGCAGAAATATGTTTTAAACACAGCACTTTCATTTGAATGATTTTTGTCTGAGTTTATGGAAATGTTTCAGATTGACTTCATRCCATCTTTGAGGTCAGATTCTGGTGGAAAAATTTGCATGAAACCCAGTTTAGATTAGAAATGATGGAAAAACCAACAGCGACGCACTGGATGAACCTGGATGGTTTCAGACGAATCTCAGAGTCACTGAGGATTATCTTATCCATGGATTTCTGAGACAGGAAACAGAGATGTGGCTTATCTTAAAAGCACCTGATGAGGGGAAGCTGGTAATTATCAGACCATCCAGAAAATAAAAATAAAAATAAAAAACACGCTCAAACAGAGCTTCCGGGTAATGTCAAACATTTATTTTAAAGGTGACATTAAATTAAACTCACTGAATTGTGTCGTTTCCCTGCTGTCAAGAAAACACAAACAAACACACAAAAAAATAAATCAATCTTCCTTACCTTCAATATTTTTATCAGTTCGAGTGAAGTCGATGGCGTCAATAACTTTTCATAAATTAGAAGTCTTCCTGACGCAGGTAGACCCAGAAGGATAGACCGTGTGAGCCCCGCCCCCCGCGGCCGGACGTCACTGAAAGGGAGAGGGCAGCACGTTGGCTGACACAGCTCTTTCGCCAGATAACTGATTTCAGCCAACCAAACAGGATCGACCTCTCTCTCTCTCTCTGTTTCCCTCTCCCAGCCCTCTCTACACGCAGACGCTGCGCCAGGGGAGAGGCATGTCACAGCTGAACGCCAGCCAGCCCTCCTCCATCCGCCTGAAAAACAAGCAGAGCGCGAGCCCTTTCCCCCTTTACGCACGGGCTCTGGGGTGCTTTTACGCGCAGCGCGGAGACCAATCGCTTGATTTCTGCTTCTGGTGACCATTTTGTTTGTCATTCGCTGGTGGCGACGATGATTCCCAGTCCGGTCGTAGCTTCTTCCACCACGCCCTTTTCCGTGAAGGATATATTGAAGCTGGAGCTCCAGCAGCAGTCTCAGCAGCACCAGCTCCAGCTGATCTCCTGCTTCGGGATGTCCGGCGCGCTGCAGCAGCAGCCGACGGCTTTCGGCTCGCACTCACCGCCCTCCTGCATGCTGGCGGGCAGAGACAGCCCGAGTCCCATCAGCTCCTGCCTGTCGGAGAGCGAGGAGAGGATGTCGTTCCTCGGCGCCCTGAGCGTCCAGGACCGGCTGGCTGAGGCCGGATTACCGGTGGAGGTGTTCGGGAACTCGGTTCAGACTCAGAGCCACCCTGCAGACCTGCGGCTGGAGGCCGAGCCGGAGGAGCCTGACAGCAGTGAGGAACACTTTAATTTTTAATGTGCTTTGACAGAAGAGAAAGCAGATGGACTGCTAATTGGTTTCATATTAGTCGTGATGTTAAGTAAAGTTTAAAAAACCTGAATATAGAAACAGCATGATCTGACACTAAACTAATAATAAATTTGGATTGAATTTGTTAATTTGAGAATAATAAAACAAATGCTCACCAAATGTGCTAATATAAAAAAATATTTTAGATGATTATATTTGCACTTAAAACAAGATCCACACCTCGGATGAAAAATTTGGTTGATAATAAGATGTTGAAATTTGTTCTTAGGGCTTCCAATTAAAATGTTTAAGTGTGGACTTATATGTACACGTCCACAGAAACTCCTGTGAAAATTTTCTTCTTTAAATTACAAATTATTAGGCAATGTTTTTAATTGGCAGATTAAAAAAATAAAGTCAATACTTTCAATATGTAAAAAACTTGTGTTTTACCTTATGTAATGACAATTTTTTTTCATTTGTGTGTGTGTGTGTGTGTGTGTG